GCATGCTGCTTGACTCACCATGTCTGGATGTCCTTAAAGGCAGCCTGACCCAGCTTGTGGCAGGGACCTGCATGTTGAGCCGAGAGTGAAATTCACACAGGGGAAGAAACGATGTCACATTATGCTGCTTGTTAGAAAAAAAATGCAGAGTTTGCTATCAGTGCACTGAAATCTAAACAGCCTAAATGGTCCTAATAGTTAGAGAATCTAGGGAAGCTTGCCAGAGTGTGGAAAGCATAACAACTGCATTTAATAACAATCAAGCTACTCTTACAAATATTTGCATGTGCTGCTTCAAAGCCTACTACACGGTCATTCATGTACTGCAGTTAGAAAGATGAGGAGGGGAAAAAAAAAGAGAGCAAGAGGAAAAGGGCACTCCATGTTTTGTAGCTGCCATAATAAAGAATGGGCAAAGCACCAGAAAGAAAAGAAAAAGGAAAAGAAACCCTCCAAAGTTTAATAAACACAAAAGGGAATAAAAATAAATCTTTGGAACATTTATTACAAGCCCTTGATGGAAGGATTAGATTGAAGGTCTCAGCCTTTCCAGTGTGGGTGTATGTGTGAAGTCGGCCTGTCTGGCCTCTTCCAACGAGAAAAGAAAAGTTGTTTACATTTCCTAACTTGGGCTGTGCATGTAATTGATTTCTTTTTGTTTCAATAGCAGAAATGAAAATTCAGAGGGGAAAAAAAGCCTCATTTGGATACAATTGAATTTAGGTCTTTTTCCTCGCCAGAACAAAAGCCCAACTCTCAGAAGAGCTGTGTCTAACAGAGTGTTTTGTTTCTCCTGAAATGTCAGTACATACAGTACTTGTGAGGAAAGCTGTGGAAATGCAGGGCTTAGTTCATCGAATGTAACTGTGCAAGGCAAAAGTGTCATCCTTTTATGCAGGATATTCCTGATTTGGGGAATAGCTTCAGCATGAAGCAAACTCCTTCCATTCCCACTAAGGGTACTCGACTCCATCTCGCTCTCCTCCTGGGTGCTCCTGGGGGCCTACATGCTGTTTTGGGTGGTTGGTCAGAGGATGTGTTCAGTCTCTCCTGTTGACAGTGTTCCAACCTGGAGCAATACTGCAGACTTGAGTACTTTGGGATATGTCTCCTGCACCCCTCCCATCAGTGCTTTTCTGCTCTGTTAGAGCAGGGCTGCTTTCTGTCCTAGTTGCTGGCACAGAAGCTTAAGAGGATGCTGGACATTGAACGAAGTCAGTAAGAAGCACAGAAACCACAGTGTCCTTATGCACTTAATCACTAACATACCAGAGTACATTTTAACCTGGCAGTTCAGACTGTCCTGTGTAAAGCAGCTGATGAAGTTTTAGCTCGTTCAAGGAAAAAAAAGCTAAAAATGTGATGCTCAGTGTTTAGTAGTGTAAAGGGAGGAGGAGGAGAGATGCTGCCTTCACCTTTTCCAACTGTGTTTTATAACTCTTGTCTCAACTGTACTGTGATGATTGTGATTATGATATTACAGCTGGAAGTCTTCAGGTTTTTTGAGGACTGAATTAATGAGTAGTTTAAAGATTATAAAAATGGAATCTTTCATTGCATTTACTGTTCTCCTTCTCTCCAAAACAAAAGAAATCTGTGTTTTCCCAGCTCCAGGAAACATATTGATTTAGTTCCACTCATTAATGGTAATGGTTCAAAGAATACTTAAGGAGTCTGATCTGCAGCAGGGTAACGGTGTTTGCAGACTAAGTTGATCAGAGTCATCTTGGCGTCTACTGGAGTCATTGGGCCAAAACCAGAGGGGAGTCCAGAGGTATCCAACTGAGTTTGAATTGTTACAACTGTCAGGTTAAGGTGGAGTCACAAAGAGAGATAAATTGCAGCATCTGAGATCACTTAAAGGTTAATCCAAAACCTTGTAGACTCCATAGTGTTCTTACAATTCCCTTAAAGAGAGTTGCAAGTCTCAATTCTCAGTCTTAATATTGATTAATTTTCACATAAACCCCAATTCTGCAGTCAGCCATTCATTTTCAGAGGAAGGGTTCCAGGTAGTATAAAACCTGAATTTTTTCATCTATGTATGAATAATGCCATTTCCTCAAATGACTTCCTGTGGATACTGTCATGGAATGACAAAATAAAGAACTACAATTTCTTATGTGGGTTTTTGCATATAAAGATGTAAAACTGTCTTATAAGAGAGATAAAACTTCTGTAAGGCAAGAATTCATTCTTACTCGTAGTGGGTGTCCCATGCCTGACTTCCAATGGAAGGCAAGTGTTTGTTCGCAGTGTATTTGAGCACACAAACACAAAAATGTGCATACTGAGAGAGTATTCATTCTCTGTCTGTCATCTTTATATAGGAAAGGGAGAAAAACTGTAAATGCAGGAATGGTTTAGGAAAATCCATTCAGATACATATTCACAGATTTGTAATATGCAGTATCAAAAACATAACAACTGGAAAGCCTACAAATATAGCAGAAGAAAGTTCTAGGAATAAGTTAGAAGCTAAATATAAATCCACTTAACAGTTAAATAGGACTTTTCAATCTAAAATAAAGTCAAGATTGACAGGGTTTGTCTGTGCCAGGGCAAGTGGTTGGCTGCTAGTTTGGCTTGTCCACAGCCAACAAAATGGTAGGTTGATGCCTCAAATAAATGACAGGGAAGGACAACTTACAACTCATCCTGAAAGCATCAATCTTGCATGCACATATTATTACGCCAAATTATATTCCTAGTAGGATTAGGTTTGGCTGAAGAACAAGTGGTAGTCTCAGAGTTTTCTACAGAAAAATGGAAAGATGAAAAATGAAGATATTATTTCTCTATTATTATATCCTCCTTTAGGATATAATCTCTGAACCAAGTAGATTTTATAAGAATTTGCAAAATATATCAAGATTAAGGTCATCACTGCATAAAATTAAGCTTTTCTCAGATGACCTTTTTTTGGTATTTTGAGAGAGACCAGCTCTAATGTGTTGCTGATGGGACAGAGGAGCAGTTCTGGTGTAGGGATAATTTACATCTGTTTTCCTTTGTGTTCTCACTATAAGAATGTAGCAGTTTTCTCTCAATAAGCATGGTAGCCCAGAATAGTGATTATGATGCCTTGGGGTTTATTTTTGAACACTTCAGATGTGAAAATCTAAAATCCTTTTCTTTCTTTAATTAAATGGAATAATAAGAAAGCCTGGGGCTTCCTGTTTGTATTTATACCTCTTATCTGTTTGATCATTCTGAGGCTCTGCTTTGGGAAGTACTCTTTCAGAGGAGTTTTTGAAGTATTTTGAGAACTTGACATATTTCACTTATAATGTGAATTTTGAGGCTGAGATTATTTCTTTATTGTCAAAGATTTTCTCATAGCTACATTTATGATACAATTACTTACTCAAAGATCAACAACAAATCAGTTATTAAACGTGCAAGCTGAGCAGTATTACGCAGTCAGGAGCTGCTGCATTGTTCAGAAGTTCTGGTAGTAACAGTCTAGAAGCACTAAATATCTGGAAGAAGGTCTTTCAGTTATTGGTGTGTCTTAGTGATAGAAATAAATCATTATTACTAAGGATTTATTCCAACTGCCATTAATAAGAAATAAAGGTAAATATACTGGCCTTGATTTCTCTCATCTCTGTACATGAAGACAATATCTTGTGTGTATTGGATCTATTAAGAACCATAGAATGGTTTGGGTTGGAAGGGACCTTAAAGACCAGCTAGTTCTAACCCCACTGCCATGGATAGGGACATCTTCCACTAGACCAGGTTGCTAAAAACTCATTCCAACCTGGCCTTGAACACATCCACAACTACTCTGGGCAACCTGTTCCAGTGCCTCACCACCCTCACAGTAGTGAGTAAGTCTCAGGAAGGTTGGACAGCTGTGCTTCCTCAGCTGAAAATGCTCCCCCAGTCCCCAAATACAATTTTCCTTCTTTTTTTTTAAATTTTTTTTTATCCACTTCAGTTTTCACACTGTAAGAGAAGAGGAAAGTTTTCCTTTGTTTTGAACAGAGATTTTTATCAAGTCCTTTGAGTCATTTCATCTCCTCTCTGAAGAGTTTGAGCTTGTTTTCTTCCATTCTCTCTTGCACTGTCTCCTCTATGAGGAGTTTGGGTGTTGGGCAGGGCCTCTGTGGGCAAGTTTCTCCTTTTTCCGCTGACTGGAACAAGGTGGAAGGGCCTTGGACGATGGCTGAACAAACCCCTTAGGCTTACCTTGGTTGTGCAGAAGTGCCTTGCTGCTTAGCCTAAGTCTGGGTTTACAGATGGGAAGGAGGGAGAGACTTTTGAACTGATATATCTAACACTACTATTGAAGACTTGAGTCCATTATTCTGGGGGGTTTTCTGCTTTCCCCCAATATATATGAGGGGTTGTTACATTTATGGCTTTACTGTTCCCAAGTGGTCAAAATTTATGTAATTCTCTTTGTAACGTATACTATCTGCTTGCCTTTTCCGTTGCTTTTTTATTCCTCTCCAAGCCTTTTTCATTGTAATCAGATTGACAATTTTGTTCCAGTAAAAACCTTTTAGCACTAAATATGGAACAAAATCTGAAGCTATCTAATTTATGCTCCATATTCTTGGGGGAAATGAACTTCAAAGAACATACAGATCAGATGAACTGCTGTTATTTGTTGCCTTTGTAGATCCCTGTGAACTCTGTGCAAACCTGAAGGCATTTGCCAGGTAGCAACTGCTAGGGTTTTTTCCCAGTTTATAAGCATTCAGGATTTTCCACAAGTAGATTGAAAGAGCAGAGGTTTAAATGAATGACCTGAAATAGAGTTGGAAATAGTTGTTAATTTCTGTTAATACGGTATTCTTATTATCAAACACGTGGAGTTGTTTTTTCAAAATTTTTATTAAATTATTAATAATACTAAATTGGCCATTGGAAACTGAATCATTCTTCAGCTACTTCCCTTGCTGAGACTGTCTGGTATTACACTGTTTGAAAGAGCAATGTATTTTATCATTAAAAAAAAGTAATACAATCACACTGCTTTCTTGCAGATACCATCCCACCAAGCTATTATAGCCTTTACTTCCGAATCATCAGATTTGATGTCTCAGCGATGGAGAAGAATGCCTCCAACTTGGTGAAGGCTGAGTTCAGGGTCTTCCGCCTGCAGAACTCAAAGGCACGGGTCTCCGAGCAGCGGATAGAGCTGTACCAGGTATGGTGGCACCTCACATGTGTCAACTCCCCATCTTTCTGCAGCAAACCCTCCTTGTATCTATCAGGCAGAACAAACCGTGGGGAGAAGCAGTTCAGTCCTGTCTCTCCAAAGCAGCCTCTTATTTCTGTACCTTCCCTAGAAAGGACTTCACTCAAAATCATGTGAAGCTGCAATGTGCAATCTTTTTCTAGCAATTGTGCCTCAGGACTTCAATGTTTTGAGCCAGCAGTGTGCCCAGGTGGCCAAGAGGGCCAATGGCATCCTGACCTGTAATCAAAAATAGTGTGGCCAGCAGGGCTAGGGAAGTGATTGTCCCTCGGTACTCAGCACTGCTGAGGCCACATCTCAAGTACTGTGTCCAGTTCTAGGCCCTTCAGTACAAGAAAGACATTGAGGTGCTCCAGTGAGTCCAGAGAAAGGCAATGAAGCTGGTGTAGGGTCTTGAGGGTAAGTCGTCCAAAGGAGCACCTGAGGGAGTTGGGGTTGTTTAGCCTGGAGAAAAGGAGGCTCAAAGCAGACCTTATCAGTCTCTACAGCTTCCTGAAAGGAGGTTGTAGCAAGGTGGCAGTTAGGCTCTTCTTGCAGGCTGTTAGTAACAGGACAAGAGAATATGGCCTCAGCTTCATCAGAAGAGGTTCAGGGTGTACATCAGGAAGAATTTCCTCACTGAAAGGGTTGTGAAGCATTGGAACAGGCAGCCCAAGGAAGCGGTGGAGTCACCATTCCTCCCGAAGAATTCAAGAAATGACTGGACATGGCACTTAGTGCTGAAGTTTAGTTGATATAGTGGTGTTCAGTTAAAGTTCAGGCTCCATGATCTTAGAGGTCTTTTCAAACCTTAATGATTCTGTCATTCTAGGTTTCAGCATATAGCAGTAAGTGACAGAACAAGGCATCAAACAAGTCATCCCCAGGATCTCTGTCTCTCAACACCTGGCCTGTACTGTAGTTTACATAGAAGTCAAATTTCTCTCTCTGGCCTGTGTTCAGGAGAAGCGTTTTAATCATTCCTTGCAGAAATGGCATTAATAACTGAATTTCAAAATGTAGCAGTTTCAAACCTGGCTTCTCTATGGTAGTCTAGGAGTTGAGGCGAGAGAGTGGACAATTTGGGGATTGAGGAGTAAGGAGAATGTTGACAAGATTTATGTCATTTGATCTTTAAGGACTTTAAAGCCATTAACATAGTCTGCATTTGTGCAAATACCATCTAGAGCATATTTCTTCTAAAACTTGGTTCAGTTTGCTGAGAAACACAACGACTGTAAGAGGCTCAGCTCCCAGCAGTTGTTTGAGCAATCCGCGACTCGTTCTGCTTAAAACCCTGCCAGATAGGATACCACCTCATAAAAAGTGTATGGAGCACCTTTTTAGATCTGTTCTTGCTGCCCACGTTAGCTGTGCCTGAGCACTGTCCTGGGCTTACAGCATTATAGGGTCCTGCTCAGATCCAGTAGATGCAAATTCGAGTTGGTCTTCTCCCTCACTTTCAATGTGCACGTCTTCCTGCCTGGGTTGGTCAAGTGGAAGCCAAACTTGTAGCAGAGAGAGGGCAGTTTGGGTTCACATGCTTGCTGAAGTGACATAAAAGCTAATCGTTGAGGCTGACAGCAGGAAAAGTCACACTGTTCAGCTTAGACGTTGCTAAAGGGAAAGTATGATTCCCAGTTGTATGCGGTTCAGGTCCACAGGTGGTCACGAGGGGCTTGGCTTCACAACTGCAACCTGGCTACCTTCCTTCCCAAGGACAGGCTGGCAGAGAAGTTGAGCAAATAATGTGTCATTTGATAAATGAGAAAGATAGGAATGTTTATTGGGAGTCACAGAGAAATACATGATTATATTATATGTACACCCTGTGACACTGCCACACCAGCCTGCTGAAACAATTGTGCGTTCTGGCTTGACCTCACTTTGAGACATCCTAAAAGGATGATGGTATCTTTAGGGTTTCTGTTGCTCTGCTTTTGAGAGCTGTTAGGCAGCCATGGGAAAGAAGTATAGCTGTTGTTGCCTGAGCTTGGTTCATTGCCTTTCCGTGGGACACAAAGGGTTCAGTGGAGGTATGGAAGAAAGGACCTTTGCTTGGCTGGGATTTTGTCTTATGATGAGAAACAGCTGGGGCTTCTTTGGGAGAGCCTGACTCTAGGAAGCCTGTGCCCATGGAAATGACTGACACCTGCATCCAGAGCAGGTACTTGAGTCCTTTGGATAAATATATGGCTGGCAAGTAAGGCAGTTTCTTTTTTAGGCTGGGTGGGGCATACTGAGTGAAGTGTTAGGTGAGTAATGAGTGCACCTTATTGTAGGATTAGGTCGTTCCTCCACCAAGTAACAGGCAAGCCAAAGGCAGCAAGCTCTGAGCTTATGTTTGTGCCAGGTTGTCTCCCGAGCATGTCCCTTTGGTATTATTTGTTTCTTGCAATCTTGGATGCAGCTCTTCCTAAAACCTTGTATGGAGTTAGAGCTCTGTGATGGGAGGCTAACTGTATGGCTTCCTTGTCAGCAGCTCTACTGCAGGAGCATGAGAGTCCCTAAATATCACTGCAACTAATCTCCATCACAACATAGGAGGTTAGCGCACAGTGTTTAACAGGAAAAGGAAAAGCAGAGAGAAATTTGAAGAGGAGGGACCTAATATCCTTTTGGGTCCCTTGCAGCTTGAGACATTCTATGATTCTATGATGAATTGTAGAACAGTGCTGTAGAACGCATCCTAAAACTTAGTGTATGAATTTTAGAAATTAGAAAGAAGCAAATCTATGGAGATGAAGGTGAAAAAGGATAGGTAGGAGGCACTGGTGCCACAGTGATTCTAGAGGAGCTTCAGGACTGTGAAATGATATATTAATAGTGCAGACAGGGCTGTCTAGCAGTGGAGGAAGGTACCAGCGTGGGAGGTGAAAAGGGAGAATGAGGAAGATGCTCATTTCAGTGGAAGTGGGAGAGGCAAATATGTTCTGCAAGGGCTGAAGACTTACTTGGGTGTCTGCTTCCAGCATGAAAAGCCATGCATGGAGAGTGAGCCTTGCAGAGGAGATTGCTGGTGGAGTTGGCATGTGCAGCTGCCGCTCCTTCTCTGTGCATAAGCATTGCTTCCTGTCTTGTGAGATACGTGCTGGGCTTGCCAGAGCTGTTGTGCCCAGAAGGAACAGTGTGGGGTTTTGTCTTGCATAAGCAACATTTAATTATGAGGGGTTTTTTTTCTCCTCCAACCAAGTTTCAGGTTGCCTAGTGTTTTGTTTTGTTGTAGAGGTCTTCTTGATGAGAGTTTTTTAAATTCTTCTCATACCTGCAGTTTCAGGGAATGATTGTTCCTTTGTCCCCTTGCCTTTCTCAGTCAAGCGGGAAGAGAGGGCCAGAAATCTTCTGGAGAGAGTCAGAGCTCTCTTGTGGTTCACTGTGATAATGGTGGTCCCTGAACACATACAAGTCTCCTAACTGCTCTCCAAGAGCTTTCTGATTTAGTCCAGTGACGGTTTAGTAGTAGAATATATACCACTGGTGCAGAAGGGACAACATTACTCTGAAGGACTATTTTGGGAACAGCTACAGACAGATGTGCAGGGTAAATTGAGAAAATAAATATTTTGTTTCTCCTCCTGATTCTTTCTTTGTGTGGTCCTCTGACCTTACAGATCTACCCCTTAACATGAAAAGAGAAGTGCAAGGCTGCACCTTTTTAGCTAAGCTTTCCTCAGGCTATACTTGGCTCCCTTTTCCAAACCACATCAGAAAGGGACTTTGTGTTTTGCTGCAACCCTTGTTTGCACTGACTCCAGGAAGGCAGTCTGGGGCTGCTTGGCATGGCAAGCCAGGGCTGTGGCCCCTCATTCCAGCCCCTGGTGCAGCAGCAGCAGGACCCTGTTCCCACCTCAGAGGCAGGGTTGGAGCAGAGAGCACCCCATCATATTTATGCTGGGAGTGAGTGGTTATGGATCTGTTTGCCAGGTCTGCTGCCCTCCAGATTTCTTCAGGCAGTGTGTCCTAAAGATTAATTCTCATGGAGGTGCCCTGGATGCATCTGCGAAGCCAATGGGCAAATAATAATCCCCATGAGCAGAAACAATTTCTTTAATGTCTGTTTTCACCCAGAATACTTCTCATGGTATTTAAGGATTAGTCAGCCACATCTGTGTGTTCCTACACAGATGGGAAGTGCAGTGCACATACTAAGTAGTCTTGGGATGGAAAATAATAAAACTCATAGAAGTAGGAATTAAGTTACTTTTATAAAGCTGGTATAAAAGCTTCTGTCTCTCTTTGGCTCTGGTTAAGTGAAGCCACAGAGAATTAAATTCTTTAAAGGCACTATCTTTCCTGTTGTTTCTTCAGCCCAAAATGGAGGGTTAATCTTGTGGTTATATTGCTGATCATCTGCACTTGGAGAGTGGGAAGCCAGAGGGAAGAAAGGAAGCAGTGTGACCTCAAGATGTGGCGAGCTCTCTCCCTCACTTCTCCTGTCCTTCCGCTGAGCCGCTCTCACTCAATGTGCTTCTTAACATGCACCGAGACTTCAGAAAATATTAAGAGGATAAAGTGCTTTTGGGGAAGAGAGGAGGAATAATATTAAATAAACAAGTTTTAGCATCCTCCAGTGGCCCTTGCTATGTTTTTAAAGATTTATGCCAAATGCAGGCTTTATTGGAATTTGATCAGATAAAGCTCAGTTGTTATGGGAATGTCTTTGTTCATCGTTTTTCTTGCCTGCTTTGAAGACTTCAACACATCTTTCTTTTATTAAGGTGCTTCTGTATTTATGAATAAAGTCCCTGCACCCTTCAAAAAAACCCTTGTTTTTTATGAATAAGCATTCCAAAAAATAAATAGGCACCACCACAAAGCTGGACAAGTGGAAACCTTCTCAGGGAAAAAAAGACATCTTTCAGAGAGTGTTGTGATACTTTTTTTAAGGTATTTTTATTATGTACAGACAGTCAAACAATGGCAAGTAATAATTGCTTCTGTGGATGCAGTGCCATGTTTTGTGAGCACAT